TCACTTCTGGGTGCCGGGAGGGCCGGGGTCAGGCTTCGCAGCCAACGTTACTGTCCCTTCCCTCAGCAGGAAGAGAGGAATGCCGCTGCCTCCGTCCGTCCTTGACTTTCTCTCTTCCAGATGACTGCCCCCTCTCCCACTTGTCAAGAGCATCCTGCGACCCTGAACCTATCATGCTCCCATGTCCACCCCCAGCCTCAGTTGGATCATCAGTGAAATGATCATCGGGTGTTTCCTTAAGGATTCTCTTGTGGCTGAACTCAAAGAGCTGATGTGTGGGGCGGTGGGAGGTTGGGGTGTGTCTGTGGACCCAGTGCCCACCCCAGAGGGTGCTGGGCTCTGCCTGGAGACAGTTTGGACTATGATGGCTTGAAGGGGGCGGTGCTGCTTTGCCCCTAGTGGGCAGAAATCAGGACACGGTGAAGGGAGTACGCGACCCTGGGTCGCATCCCCAAGCGACAACTGTCCATTCCAAAATGTTTCTCGCTCCCGAAGAAATCCAGGATTATGGGATCAAAGGCCTTATTTATCTCTATCAGTCCCTTGGGTAAAATTAAAAAATACACACAAGGGCCCAAGAGATAATACAGCGGGTAAAGGTGCTTGTTTTGCTGACCGGGTTCGATCCCCAGCACCCTATATGATCTCCCAGGAGTGGGTCACCAGGAGTGATCCCTGAGTGCAGAGGCAGAAGTAACCCCTGAGCACTACTGGGCGTGACCCAAAAGCCCTGTGCGCTCTCTCGCTCTCTCTCTCTCTCTCTCTCTCTCTCTCTCTCTCTCTCTCTCTCTCTCTCCCCAAGTCCTGAGTTCAAATCCCTTCGCTGTTCTCCAAGGAAGAGAAACTTGTTGGGGAAGGGGAAGGATCTCTCCTGCATGTGACCTGGAACTAGAGTCTCAGAGTCCACTAAAAGCCACGCCCCCCCCCCCCCCCCCCGCAGACGGGAATGTACGCCCTGGAAATTACTGGGTGCCTCAGGTTCCAGGAGGGGACCCCAGGGACTCTGGAATGCTAAGAAGGCGCTTAACAAAGATGTAGGAAGAGATCAATCAGGAGGACTTCCTGGAGGTGCTCATGGCAGTGTGAGCTCAACTCGGAAGGCAGAGGAGGTATCTGGGCACAGAGCCAAGGAAGGGCACAGGCGGTATGTGGAAGGAGGGGGTGGGGAGTGGGCCACTGCTTCCATCTTGGGTAGAACAAGCACCAGGGTCAGGGGAAGCAAAGTCCAGCGAGGTTCCTGCAGCCCCGTTGGGTGGAGGTGGGACTTGGGTCCAAGGCCAGGGCGAGCCCAGTTGAGGGGGGTTAGGCCTTTCTGGAAACATCTAGGGCAGGAAGGAGGAGGAGCGGAGGAAAACAACAGACCAGCAGATGAGGGTCAGCAAGGAAGGAGGAATGGACAGATGAGGGGTGCATGTGAGAAGTCACCACAGGCTGCTGGTGAGTCAGGCAGCGGGACCAGGTCATGGGCAGCTAGCTCAGATTCTGGGACTATCCTAGGGCATCAGCACCGAGTCCCAAGACCTGGAGACATGCAGACAGACCAGTGGAGGTGAGGGAGTTGCGAGGGTGGGTCATGGGGGAGACCCCGCAGGGAGGGGGCAGCCTCCACACACCAGCCTCCCTGGAGCCCCTTCCAGGGTGCCAGAACTATGGGAACAGCAGGAGATCACACACCTGGCATCATCTTGATCTAGTGACAAAGGGACTTGAATGATGGAGACGCAGAATATTCTTTTCTCCATAACAGGCTCCCAGAGTCACCAGGAATAGTACATTCACTAAAATGAATGGCAAACCCTCATTTTTCTTGTTCTTTCTCTCCTTTTTTTTTTCTTTCCGGGAAGAGCAGTCCCATCGGCGGGGTAATGGATCCTGATTTGGACGCGCCCGTGCGCCAGCCAGGGTGTAAATCATTCACAGGAAACAACTCACAGCCCTTTAAACCAACACCAACAGTGACAAATGGGACAGGCGGGGGACAGGCGGAGGGAAACGCGCGGCAGAGATCCATCAGCCGCCTGCCCACCCGGCACCCGGACCCAGGGCGCTCAGCCCTGTCAGGGCTCACCCGGAAGTCATTTCTCTGCACAGTGGGGTTGAAAAGGCCACGTGGTGTCCAGTGAGAGCCTCGAGATCGGACACAGGGTGGGGCCGCACCCCCCTCAGTTCCAGCTCTACCACTCCTGACTGCAGCCTGAACAAGGCACAGGGCCCCCCAGACCCACTCCCACCCCCGCCTTCTCTACCTGCTGGGGAGGATGCAAGTGTGGAAGAGGAAGGGGGCTAGAGCAGAGGAGGGCACCGTATATCTGGGAGGCAGAGAAGGAGGGAAGGAAGGGAGGAAGGAAGGGAAGGGAAGGAAGGGAGGGAGGAAGGAAGGGAGGGAGGGAGGAAGGAAGGAAGGAGGAAGAGAAGGAGGGAGGGAGGGCAGGAGGGAGGGAGGGAGGGAGGGAGGGAAGGAAGGAGGAAGGGAAGGAAAGAAGGAAGGTAGGTAGGAAGGAGGGAAGAAAGGAAGGAAGGAGGGAGAGGGAGGGAGGGAGGCAGGGAGGGAGGGAAGGAAGGTAGGAGGGAGGGAAGGAAAGAAGGAAGGTAGGTAGGAAGGAGGGAAGGAAGGAAGGAGGGAGGGAGGGAGGGAGGAAGGAAGGAAGGAAGGAGGAAGAGAAGGAGGGAGGGAGGGCAGGAGGGAGGGAGGGAGGGAAGGAGGGAGGGAGGGAGGGAAGGAAGGAGGGAGGGAAGGAAAGAAGGAAGGTAGGTAGGAAGGAGGGAAGAAAGGAAGGAAGGAAGGAGGGAGAGGGAGGGAGGGAGGCAGGGAGGGAGGGAAGGAAGGTAGGAGGGAGGGAAGGAAAGAAGGAAGGTAGGTAGGAAGGAGGGAAGGAAGGAAGGAGGGAGGGAGGGAGGGAGGGAGAAAGGAAGGAAGGAAGGAAGGAAGGAAAGAAGGAAAGAAGGAAAGAAGGAAGAAGGGAAGGGAGGGAGGGAGGCAAGGAGGGAGGGAGGGAGGGAAGGAGGGAGGGAAGAAGAGGAGCGAAGGAAGGAAAGGGGGGAAGAAAAAAGAGGAGGGAAGGAGGAAGGAGAGAAGGAAGGAGAGAAGGAAGAAAGGAAGGAAGGAAGGAAGGAAGGAAGGAAGGAAGGAAGGAAGGAAGGAAAGAAGGAACCCTGGGTGAGAAGAGAGGGGAGAGGAGGGGGGATCAGAGCAGAGGCAGAGGAAGACAAGCACTGTTTGATGTGGCCAGAGGTGGGTGCTGGCCTGCTGAAGGAGGTATCAGAGGATCTGAGAGCCTCTCACTCCCCACCAGGAGGCCTCTGAGCTGCGTGGGAAGGGGCTGGTTAATGAGGTCGGTTCCTGCCAAGGAGGAGGAAAGGGCCTCTCTCTCCCAGGGGAGGGTGGAGGATGTGAGGGCCGCGGGGCCTGGACTCTGCCGGGGAGCCTGGGTCTCTGTGTGCAGCCTCACCCCTCCCACGCGGCAGCCCACCAAGGGCAAAGCTCCTGGGAGTGGCACGGGTGAGGGAGGTACCGGCCAGAGCCAGGGATGCTCTGTGGGGAGGGGTGGAGGCAAGAGCCGCGCCTCAGAGATCTCCGGGCCTAAGCCTGGGGATGCGGGGTTGGCTCGGCAAAGAGGCCACGGGGGCAGGGCTGGTGCCTGTTGAGTGTGTGAGTGTGTGCCTATGTGTGAATACATGTATGTGCATGTGTCTGAGTGCAAGCATGTGTGTGCATGTGTGTGTATGTGAATGCATTTTCTGAGTGTATGTCTGGAAGTGTATATAAAGGTGTGCGGATGAGTGTGTTTTTATATGTAAATGTATGTGTGTGAGTGGCTGTGTTGGTGAGTCTGAGTGTGTTGTGTATGTGTGCATGCTTAGTGTGTCAGTGTGTTTGATCGTGTGTTGAATGGGTATGCGTGTGTGTGAGTATGTGTGTGCGAGTGGATGTATGTGCGTGTGCCTGTGTATGTGCATATGTATGCATGTGTGTATGTGTGTTTATGTGAGTGGGTATGTGTGTGTAAGTGGGTGTGGGTGTGCCTGTGTATGCATGTGTGTATGTGTGTTTATGTGTGTGAGTAGATATGTGTTTAGTGTATGAGTTGTGATATGAGTATGTGTGTGTGTGTGTGTGTGTATGCGCGCACAGATGTTTTCTGGGTCACAGAGCACACATCTGGTGCCCTAGGACCATGTGGCATTAGAGGGAGGGAGCCACCGTGGCCCCTCCAGGAAGGGCTTTCAGAAAAGCCCGGATTGTGGACAATCCCTCTCACAGGTCAGGAGCTGCTTCTCTTGGTGGTGAAGAAGGTCCGAAATGGCCCTCAGGGGCCTGGGCCCCACCGGTTATTCTGGTTGGACACAATGGCGGAGGACACAGTGCTACTTGGGTCCCGCAGTCTAGGGGATACCTGGGCCCCCAGTGGTGCTCAGGGACCTTCAGGGCTACACCCAGTAATATTAAGGGGACCCCACCGTGCTGGGAAATGAGTCTGAGTCGGGGGTGTGCTAGGCATGCGCCCTAACCACTGCACCATCTTCCAGTCCCTAGACAGGAAACACTGCTTGAAATGTTGCCTGGACCCCAATGGGGGGCAAAGCCTAGCTCAGCGGCCTAAAGGCAGGGGGGACCCGGCGGGAGGAACCTGGGTTCGAGTCCATACTGGTGTGTGGTCCTGGACAAGCAAGTGTGACTGCTCAGAGTTCAGAGAAGGGCCCTTGAGGCACAAATTCTCCCCTCTCCTTGAGCCTCAGTTTCCTCCTCTGTAAAAAGGGGCCAGATAGGATTCAACAGGGTTGTGGCGGATCTAATTGCTGATGCTAAGACTGGTCTCTCCTCTGGACAGCGGCCACAGACCTCTGAAACAGAGCCCCTGCGTGGACGTGGAGATGTACCGCGGCGGGTGGGGGGGGGGGCAGCGGCAGAGAATGCCATTGGTCGACACTGAGCCCGCCCCCAGGGCTTGCAGCCTCGCTCGCGTCCAGCCACGGAGAGGAGCCCAGGTGGGCACACTCACCAGCACCAGGCACCGTTGGCTGGCCTGGGCCTCCCGCTGCCCCAGCTCCTCCAGGTCCGCCTTCAGCTCCTCCAGGCGCTGCTGGTAGTACCGGCCGCTCTCCCGCTGCTGCATCTTGGCCTGGGTGGCCTGCGCCAGCTCCTCGCCCATCGTCATCAGGCTGTCCCGGAGCCGGACCACCAGGACCTGTGGGCGCGACAGCGAGCACCTGGTCATCTTTGGGATCAGGGGCCAGGGACGGGGAGGCCCCGGAGCCTGAAAACAACAGTCCTGATGTCTGGTACGAGAAATACAAGCTAACAATAATAAATCAGAATTTACTTTAAAAGTATAACGTTACTTTATATAAAAGTATAGCTTTACTTTGTAGCTGGAGCCGTAGTATGGCGGGTGGGGCGCTTGTCTTGCAAGCAGCCGACCTGGGTTCGATCCCCAGCATCCCATAGGGTCCCCCAAGCACCGCCAGGAGTGCTCCCTGAGTGCAGAGCCAGGAGTAACCCCTGAGCACTGCTGAGTGTGGGCCTAAACTCCACTCACCACCACCAATTTATACATATATATATATACACACACACACATATATATATATTATATATGGACTGGAGCAATAGCACAGCACTAGGGCATTTGTCTTGTAAGCCACTGGCCGGCCGACCCGGATTCGATTCTTCCACCCCTCTCGGAGAGCCCGGCAAGCTCTTGAGAGTATCCTGCCCACACGGCAAAGCCTGGCAAGCTACCCGTGACGTATACAAAATGCCAAACACAGTAACAACAAGTCTCACAATTTGTTGTGAGACATTACTGGTGCCCGCTCAAGCAAATCAATGAACAACAGGAGGACAGTGACAGTGACAGTGATTATATATATGTGTGTGTGTGTGTGTGTATGCATATATATATATATATATATATATATATATATATATATATATGGCACAGATGAGAATTCTGCCCACCCATTGTGCTCTGGTTTCACATTCCACCTCTACCTCTTCCTGCTCATGTGACCTTGAGACGAAGACCGTGATAAGAGCTGCCACCCAGGGATGCACTTGGACAAAGTTCTGCAGCCAGCTGGACGCAGGGCTGGCACCCAGAATGTTCTAGATAAAAGTCATCCAGTCTGGGCGTTGACAATATTTAAAGCAGCCTTCCTTCACCTCAAAGTTGGGGAGATGCAGTGGGCAGACCATGAGGGGATTTGAACCCTGGGCCCAGCCTGGCATGGTGGTTCCCCAACCCTGGAGCTCTGACCAGGTCACTGCCGGGAGCCTGAGCTGTACTACTAGGCAGCTGCATCAGCAGTCACCGACACAGATTGCTGGTCGAACTGGGGAAACGAGAGGGGGCACAGAGCCATGGGCACCACCGGGGCTGAGAACGCAAACCCAGGGGCCTGTGGTGCAGAATCCATCCACTGGTCAGCCAGCCTGGAACCGCTTGGGGCTGCTGGACAAAAATGTGGCTTCTGACATTCTGCGAGAAGGCCACATGGATGCTTCAGAGCCTGGCCGAGCACTGGGAGTCTGTCTTCGGATCAGAGACTGACGGGGCTGAGGAGTGAAGTTTGCCTACTCTGTTCCCCTTTGCCTTTGATTTTTTTTCTTTTGGCTTTTTGGGTCACATCAGGCAATGCACAGGGGTTACTCCTGGCTTTGCACTCAGGAATTACTCCTGGTGACACTCAGGGGACCATACGGGATGCTGGGGATCGAACCAGGGTCGGCCGCGTGCAAGGCCAACGCCCTCCCCGCTGTACTATCGCTCCAGCCCCCCTTTTGCCTTTGAAATGGGAGTGTCACAACAGTTTCCAAGGGCAGATGGGGTGTGTGTGTGTGTGTGTGTGTGTGTGTGTGTGTGTGTATATGAAGTGGTGGTGGTGGAGGAGGAGGAGGGGGATGGAGATCAGGAAGGAATGTGTTTCTCAACTTGTGTCCCTGAGACACCCCATCTCAAGAACTGGGGAGGGGACGGGGGTGGTTCTATTAATTTCCAATAATGATGGCAGAAGGGAAAAATGAAAGTGGAGGTAGCATCTTCTGTTTCCAGTTTACCAACCATAATTTTCTTCTCTGCTAATTCCCCTGGGGCTGGAGCGATAGCACAGCGGTAGGGCGTTTGCCTTGCACGCGGCCAACATGGCCGATCCAAGTTCGATTCCTCCGCCCCTCTCGGAGAGCCCGGCAAGCTACCGAGAGTATCTCGCCCGCACGGCAGAGCCTGGCAAGCTCCCTGTGATGTATTCGATATGCCAAACACAGGAACAATAAAGTCTCACGATGGAGATGTTGCTGGACCCGCTTATTCCCCACGTGAGAATCGAGTTAAGAAACATGTGTGTGGGGGGGAATTGTGTGTGTGTGGTGCAGGGAGGGGGACTCACCAATGCTCAACCTTCAGCTCGTAAGCAGGAGGAGGGCGGGCGAGGCCTCAGGTTCAATCCCCAGCATCACCCCTGTGTGCCTGTGTTTGATCTTCACAGTTGTGCTGTTTGCGCTCCCTGGGGCCACAACAAAGCCAGCAGTCTCCATTTGACCAGGATCACCCATGACTGACACGGGTGACCCCAGGGAGCCCCATGGCTGAGAAGTGTGTAAGCACAGCAACCAGGGGTCGCCTCTGCTCAGAGAAGGAACGAATGTGAAAGGCAACGGGAAGGGACACTGGGGAAGTGGCCTGGGCCACAGCTCGGCGTTATAATTATATAATATAATATAATATAATATAATTACACATATGGAACTGCGGATTCACACTTTGTGGTGATCTGCGGAGATCATGCCATGAGGAGTCCCGTGAGTGATTCCCTGACAGCCACCCAGGGTCAAGGCTACAGAGCAATTTCTCTGTCTTCTTAGAGACCAGGTTCCCAGTGGGACTGGGAAAAGTGTTTCCTAACAAGGCGTGTGGGCCTCCCATTATACAGGCTGCACTGGCGATGTAGGAGTGAGCTCACTGGGTGCAGAGATGTTGGCACCCAGGACCGGGAGGGACCGGAAGTCAATCTCTTCCTCTTGCCGACTGACCAACACCACCTGGCTTTATCCTGAACCAATCACTTGGCCTCTGGAGACATTGGGTAAGGCCCACCCTCCCCATGCTACAGGGCTGTGAGGGAAAGAATTGAAAGATCTCAAGGTAAGTGAAGGAAGTCGGAAGAGCAGGTCAAATACTGAATGAGCTCACTTATCTCTGGTACCGAGAACAGCACAGCAAGGGAACACAGGGCATCCAGGAGGGCAAAGCCTCAGGCCTAGATTACAGTAATGAAAAGGCCAAGGAAAGAGAGATATGGAGGCAGCTAAATTGAGGGATGGGAGGCAGAGGCTTTGGACACATGACTTGGTGTCTGTACACACCTGAACCACAGCACCATCAATACTGACACATGAGGCGCCAACTACAATGATTAATCTTAGGGACTGAAGAGATGGTACAGCAGGTAGGGCTTTGCGTACGACATGGCTGACCTGGGTTTGATCACCAGCACCCCCTATGGTCCCCTGAGCACCATCAGGAGTGATGCCTGACTACAGAGAAAGAGAATCTGGGGACACCATCAGTGTCCATTTCCACTGAGAGTTGACACTGATAGTGGGATTGGGTGTTGGAACACTGCATGCCTGAAAACTTAGCATGAACACAATTATAAATCACAGTGCCTCCATTTAAAAACTTTATCTAAAAAAGAAGGAAAAATAAACAAATTATAGGGGGGGAAAAGAACAGCTGCTGGGCAGGGTTTTGACAATAGTATTGGTCCATCCTAAATGTCTCAAGTCGTGGGCTGAGCGGGCTAAGCATGAGTGTGGTCGGTGTCACTGTGATCAGTGGCACTCCTCTTCCTGGTTGATCCAAGTCTTTCCTGTCCCCCTCGGTCTCATATCCATGCCGCTCCCTCCCTGATTCCTCCCTCATCCCACCATCCTCCACTTCTCCCTGCCCTCTCCCACACAGCGGCTATCTGTGTCCACAGCTCACTCCTGTTCCCTACCACATTCTATGCTTTAGGGAGGTAGGGTCAGTTTTGCACACGTGTCTTCTTTCTGTCCACCCAGGGCAGCCTCACATCCACTATAGCACCTGTAGCACTGTCCTCCGTTGTTCATCAATTTACTCGAGCGGGCCCAGTAACGTCTCCGTTGTGAGACTTGTTGTGACTGTGTCTGGCATATCGAATACGTCACGGGTAGCCTGCCAGGCTTTGCTGTGCGGGTGCGATACTCTCGGTAGCTTGCCGACTCTCTGAGAGGGGTGGAGGAATCGAACCCAGGTCGGCCGGGCCAGCCACATACAAGGCAAACGCCCTACCCACTGTGCTATCGCTCCAGCACAAGATGCAAAATTTACGTTTCTGCTCAACGTTGTGTCGGGTCTGGAAATGGATGAGTGGGTGGAGAAAAACGGGTCGAGTTGGATCAATGGGCAAAAATGACGGGCAGACAGAGGTGGGGAGGTCAGTTCTGAGGAGACCCAGAACAGAGGAAGTGAAGACGGAAGGAGGAACAAAAAAGAAGAATGAAGGGAGGCAGATGGTGGTCCACGGGGCTGGATACCCACAAATGAGAGGGACAGGGTGAAGCAAGAATCTGTGAGACACGTGATTGGTGAAAGAAAGGGAAGAGGGTGCGACCGTGGGAGTGGGGGAGGCAGATGCTCAGTTCAGGGTGTCCCCGTGGCCAGGTGCTGAATGGAAGGGCCAGAGCTCTCTGCTCTAGACGTGTCAGGATGTATTCATGTGGTCACAGTACCTCAAATCTCTTGATCTGCACTTTCTGGAACTCCGTCTTGTTCTCCAGGTCACAGATGATGGCCTCCTGCCTGCTGACAATGGAGCGATCCACTGTGGACTTCTCCAGGTACTCGATGCGCATCTGAGCCACCTGCAACTGGGGGTGAAGCCAAGAGGTTGCCTGGTTGTCTGTGGACGCTGAGTGCACCCCCAACTTCAGACACACACAGCATCCCAGCCTGGCACAGCCACGTGACTGAGCACTTGGATTCGTGTGTCTATATCCTGTCCCTGCTCTGCTCCAGGGGCAGTGCTGGTGCGAGCAGCATACTGAGCACCAAAGGCTCCCCGTCCAGGCTAGGCCTGGGTGCCAGGCGCAGACAGCAGGGCTCAAATCCCTACTCCTCTAATCCTAATCCTACGCCTCTGCAGGTCTGTGCCTCTCCCTGAGGCTCGCTGCATTTCCCTGGATGAGGATGAACATTAGTGCCCTGTCTCTAAGGAGCACTTGGCAACACTTCACCTCTGCTGTCATTTTCTTTTTATCTGTGCCTACATACGGTATTTGCTGGAGACCCCCACCATCCTGATAGCCCCTCTGCACAGGGACTGAGAAGAGCCCTGCGCATTCCACAGCTAACAGCAACCTCCTAGGAAGTCACAGAAATTCAGGGGCGTTAATGGGAGGTTTCACAAGGGATGAAGGTCCAGCTCTACACACGCCACCCCTTTCCCTGCTGAATGACTGTGAGTCCCACTGTGTGGATCCACTCTGGAATCCGAACAGGTGCAGACAAGTGTGTGTGCGGGACCATGCGCACGTGTGTGTGTGTGCATGTCCATGCATGTATGTATGTGTGTGTGTGTGCATGCGCATGTCTTCGTGTGCATGCATGTGCGCGCATGTGTTCATGTGCGTGTTGTGTGCGTGTGTACGTAGGCATGAGTGTGTGCGTGTGTGTGCGTGTGTGTGTGTATGCACACACTTGCGTGTATGCTGGATTGTTCTCCACTGGCTGATGACTAAAGGTACGTAAAGGGATGAATGAGTGGGGTAGTGACAGTTTCCCGGAGGCCCCTCCCTGCTTTCCCCACGCCATGGCAGCTGTGAGCACGTACCAGTTCCTGAAGCTTGTGCTTCTCCTTCTTGGCCTCCTCCAGCTGCAGCTGCAGTTCCTGGATCTGCTCAATATCTGTAGCTGACTGCAAAGATAAGACAGGCCACGGAGACTGCAGGCTCTGCTGGCAAACTGCCCCCGGGAAGCCCTGGCTCCTCCTGCCTGCAGCCCCCCATGAATGTACAAGTATCCCAGGGTCTCTGTGCCAACAGCTGGTTATGGAGAGGCACCTCTCACCCCTGCCTGATGTCCTGCACCTCACTATTCTCCAAGTCGCCTCTGTTACATAAGCCCTCGCAATGCTCAGCTGATTCGCCTTTATCATTCACCCTGAAAGTCTGGACAGAAGCAGCTGCCCACAGCACAATGACCACACACTAAGGGAAGGAAAATGACTCTCAGGTCACTTGGGGCGCAAGACCAGAATACTGGCATTGGCAAGCCACCGAACCTCTCTGTACCTCCATAACCCCATCTGTAAAGTGGGTTCACAGTCTCAGCCCTTCTTGCAAAAAAATATTCAGAAATTCAAACAAACAAATTTTAATGAAAGCAAAATCCCTTACAAAAAAACACAAGTGGGGGCCAGAGAGATAGTACAGGAGGGAATGCATTTTTCTTTTCTGGGGTTGAGACCACATCTAGATTCCCAGAATCACATACAGTCCCTCAAGCATCACTAGGAATGACCTCTGAGCACAGGGTCAGGAGTAGCCCCTGAGCACACTGATTGGTGTGGCCCTCCGCCACTCCCCCCCACACACACACACACACAGTAGAGCCCAACTGCCAAGCACCATTAGCCCCAGAGAGAAGGCCTGCTAGGGACAGCAGCCCTGCCTGTCTCTTTTCCACATGGATTTGTGATTTGAATGATCTGTGATGGGCGTACAAATGTGCTGTTCTTCTAATTGAACATATCAAGAAAATTCTATTTTGAACACAGATAATAGACAAGTGGATCCACAAAGACAGGAGATGGTCTGGGCGTGTGTGTGTGTGTGTGTGTGTGTGTGTGTGTGTGTGTGTGTGTCTGCTGTGATGTGGATGAGATGATTGTCACTTTCTTATTCTAGCTGGAGGAGGAGGCATTCCCTCTGATCCCATGTGGGCTGGACGCTTTTGCAGCCTGGCGGGCGGTCTTCCACAGCTCTTCCCGTGGGAATACTGTCTACTGTTGGGGAGATTCTCATTGCATTCGGAGGGAGCTGTTCTCCCAGGCATGCAGACTAGACATCTTCAGGGGGTCCCCCCTGCCAAAGCCAGCTTCTCCCCATGCGGCCATCACGCCTCCTAACTTCTCCCAGGCCCAGAGGCTCCCCTGCGCCCCAGTCCTCTTCTGCCTTCCCAATGTAAGCTCCTGTTTACTCTCCCTGCTTCACTGCCCTTTCCTTTATCTTCAGCTCTCCGCTGAGGGCTGCTCCCTGCCTGCCCTTCCTCTCGGCCCGCATGAGACTGGAGATCACTGTTTTTGCAGAAATGCCATCTGGGCCGGCATCCTGGCTGCTGGTCTCCTTGTGCTCTTGTCCCTGAAAAGGTCTGCTAAGAATTCCCGTCACATACAGTTATGCCCCAAACGAATCAATAAATGATGGCTACAAGACTGCCCCACCTGGCCAATCTGCTGGCCTTGGGAGGAGCTCGTCTCCTGCATCTTCTGCCAAGCTGCGCTCAGATTCTTAAACTCTCAGTCGAAGGCCCCCCTACCTGTGCTGTTCCTGCTGGTTCCCTCATCCTGGCTTCCACTGCAGCCCGAGCCCTGCTCCATGTTCAGATCAGCATCCCAGGGCCACTTCCTCAGGGGAGTCTACTCTGACCCACAGGCCCGGGCAGGAGACACGGAAGCCTGAGCATTCCCTGTCTGGATTCTAAGTCCACACAGCAGTCTGCCCTCTGTTCTGGGTGATGATGGAATAAGGTCCTCCCAGCCCATGAAAAAACAAACTATGTGAATGCAAAAATGGAAGGTGCTTTTGATAAACACAGGCACCTTGGCATTCCACAAAGTGCCGAGCATATACTAGGTAGGCAGTAAATATTAAATAAGTGAGTTAATGAATGGGCGTATATGGGTGGGGGGTGGGGGGTGGATGGTAGGTGGATGATGGATGGGTAAATGGGTAGATGAGTGGATAGAATAATGCATGAGTGAGTGGATATGTGGATGGATAAATGGATGGGTAGATGGATGGATGGATATGTGAGTGGATGGATGGACGGATGGATGGATGGATGGATGGATGGATGGATGGATGGATGGATAGGTGGATGGATAGGTGGATGGATAGGTGGTTAGACAGGTGGATGAATGAATGGGTATGTGGATGGGTGGATATGTAGAAAGACAGATGGATAGATGGAAAGATAAAATTATTAACTGATGGATATATGGATGGATGTGTGAGTTGGTGGGTGGTGGCTGTTGGGTGGATGAGTAGATGGATGTATGGACAGATGCATGGATGTGTGTATTGTCAAAAGAATAGAGAAATAAATGAATATATTGATAAGAGTATGGATGGCAACTGGATGAATATTTGGATGGGTTGACTGATAGATATGTGGATGGGTAGACTGAAATAAATAAAAATATTTTATTGGTGAGGACATCCTCACGGAGATCATCCGAAGGGGTCAGCCTCCTTCCTCAGGACCATAAAATTATCCCAATTCCATTTTCATTTTGTGGCATTCATGCCTCCCCCGTATTTCCTAAGACCAGGGAGTGGCCCAACCACAGGTCTTTTCTGTTGCCCACCTGGCAGTCCCTCCAGCCCTTCCCCCACGCGGGCCCGTTACCTGAGCAATGAGATCCTTGTGTTTCTGCATGAGGTCATTCAGGTCATCCTGGTCCTCATCGATGCGCTTCAGCAGGTCAGCTCTCTCGAACTGCAGGCGGGACAGTTGCTCATCCACCTGTCAGGGGAAGACACCGTGGGCAGGGAGAACAAAAGGTGGTCAAGGGACCATGAGCCTGCCGGGGGCAAGTCAGTGCATGCTGTGCTTTGATTGCAGTGTATGTCTGTGTGTGTGTGTGTGTGTGTGTGTGAGTGAGTGAGTGAGTGAGTGAGTGAGTGAGTGAGTGCGTGCAAACCTCCTTACTCTCTCAGAGAACCAGCACTCTGTTCTATTATAGACAGATCCCCAGCACTGGACCTGCACATAGCAGGTGTTCAATAAACAATCATAATGGTGTGGATGGTGACGTGGAGATGCATGTCTTCAGTTGTGAGCACATGCAATTTGAATGCAAGTGTGAACATGTGTATCAATGTGTGAATCTGTGAGCAGATTCCCCTTGATCTCAAACTCTTGGACCAAGGGGACAATACAATCTTTTTTCAATGCCCAGCAGAAATTTTAAAGCAGTGCTGGCCCACACTTTCCTAGCTTTCCTCTACTTCCAGACTGTGCACAGTGAGTGAACACCGGAGTCAGCCCTGGATATCCAGCCGTACATCTCTGAATCCCGCACTGAGACGTCACCACCATAATTGGTCCACAACAAGGATTCGTTTGCCCTTGTTCAGGGGAGAGCTAAGGCGGGCCCGGGATTGACTGCTGGGTCCTTTAGGGCAGTGAAGCACAGGGGGCCCCCGAGGAGTGACCTCATCTTTATGTGTGAAGAAGAATGGCCACGTGTCACCCTGCACCTTGTGTCATGCCCTGTTTCTACACAGGAACTCTGTAGCCCAGCAGGGAGGGAGAGCATCCGGGCACATGACACAAAGCTGTGCCCCCAGGTTTCCGGTGTGGGTGCAGCTGAGCAGACCGTGAGTTCCAAGTGAGTACATCCTCAGACCCCCAAACAAAGAGGTAGCCACAAACGTGTCCTGGCCCCCCTCTGCCATAATAAATGCTTGGTTGGAGAGAAAGGGTGTCTGTCTCTTCTGCCTTTTCCCCCCCTGGCAGCACGGTGGCCGCTGCTTCAGAGCTTATTGGACAGCCAGATATGAGCTGGCGATGATGGGGCAACTGCGGCCTCATGGGATGGGGGGTGGCACCGGCACATCCTTTCTGTCCCACTGAGACCACGAGTTGTCTCCCACAAGCGGCTCTCTAGCACAGCCATGGACCTAGAGGCACACAAACCAATCTCAGAACTATGCAGCTTTTGGCAGAAATCCCTCCAGACTTAACTAGTAAAATATCAGAAATACACAATTGCGCGTCCATGACCGTGCAACATCATGTGATCTTCATAACCAGAAATAGAGAACAAATTATTTCACGATGCCTTTTCAGCAGGTCTGATTGTTGGGGTAAAATTCCAGATAATAATGGCACATCTTTTGTCAAAATAATGAATGTAATCAAAGTAGAGAGAGAGTTAAGTGGAAATCATCTTCCTCACAGGCATGGGGAAGGGTGGGATGCAGGGTATATTGGGGTTCTTGGTGGTGGGAAATATGCACTGGTGAAGGGATGGGTGTTTGATTACTGTATGACCGAGACTTAAACCTGAAAGCTTCGTAACTGTTTTCACGGTGATTCAATAAATAAAGTTAAAAATAATAAATGCCCGGTTGGAGTCGAAGTGACAGTACAACAGGGAGGACACTTGCCTTGCATGAGGCTGACCCGTGTCCTATCCCTGGCATCCATATAGTGCCCTGAACACTGTCAGGGGTGATTCCTGAGCGCAGTGCCACGAATAAGCCCTGAGCATATCTGGGTGTGGCCTGTTCCCCCTCCCCCCAAAAGTGAACAATGCCACTAAAAAGAATCAATGGCTGAACCCATCTCTGTGCGGGCAGGAGGCAGAACGTGCACTCCCTGGGGACCCCCACCCCGCACTCCCCTGAAGCTAGCTGACCTGGGGCTCTCCAAGATGGCAGCACCCAGTGCGTCCTGGGTCTGGCATTTCCCCTGCCCTGCCCCTCCGGGCACAGAGCGGGTGCATGCCGGCCAGGGTGGCAGGGTGAGGGGGCCCTCCCCGGAAAGGGACGCTACCAGGCTCTTGCTGCGTGTCATGTTCTCCAGTTCGTTGTGCATGTTCTCCAGGTCCGCTGTCAGCGCCTTCTGGGTCTTCAGGGCACCCTCGCACTTGGCTTCACTCAGCTCCAGCTGCATGGGTAGGGAGGGGGAGAGTGAATGAATGAATGAATGAATGACGTCAGGGTGGCGTCAGACATGAATGGCCTCATACACGAATGATGTGGGACTGACACCTTCCTCTCCAGCCCGGCCCGTCTCTGGCAACAGAGTTGTTAGGGAGAGGGGGGCATTCATGAGGTCACAACTTTGTTTTTGAACCACAACAGGGAGGGGGAACGAATACATCTTCATAGGAGACATTTGGGGGGGAAATTAGGGGGAATGGGGGTCTGCCCCAAAGAGGTGCCCCAGCGCCAGCTGGGAAAACTGCCAAGTGGCCACTTCTTAACCAGGTTCCAAAGTTGTAAGCACAGTAAATCCCCCCACCCTTATTTTAAATTTGAGGCATTTAGGGTTTACATTATTTTCCATGACAGGGTTTCATGCATACAACATTCCACAACACCCCCCCCCCCAACACACACACACCCAACCCCCCAGTCCCTCAGCACCTGCTTCCCTCCACCACTGTCCCTGTGTTCTGGGCTCTCACCCCCGCCCTTGGTAAATTTAGTTCTATTGATCAGGTCTCGGGTTCTGTTGCCTTTGGCCATTATTATTTTCTGCCTGTGTTTCTTTCTATCCCACCAAGAGAGCAACTGTTCTGTCACTCTCCTCCGGCTAACTTTGCTAGTCTAACCCCCTCATTCCATTCATAGCAGCAAAGTGCACGGCCCCATTTCCTTGACACGGCCAAGTAGCATTCGGAGTTGAGTTTATGGGCCACCTACTTCTCTACTCTTGGACCACACGGGCTGTTGGCAGATTTTGAGCCCCTTCTGTTTAATGGTTCCAGAAGATTCTGCATCTGAACCTTTCCTGCCTCCACCACTCCCCTAGAGGTTCAAAACGAAAAAGCCACTGTGGCTTTCCCATCCAGCTACAGAGGTGGCCCTTATGCTGGCAAAGGGGGCCATCCAGAGAGGGACACATACTTATGCAGCCCCAGTGAAAAAAACCCCAATTGCACTGAGTCCGTCCTGCCTGTGTCAGCCTCTTTCTAGAATTTCTGAATGCTGGACTCATAAGGAAGTACTCAGGGCTCAGGGAAGGGTGGCACTTTGCCTGAAATCACACAGCTCAGAGGAGTAAACACACCATCTTGTGTTGTTTGGACCAGCACATTTTTCAACAGCCAGGCCACTGCACTTCCAAACCACAGACATTAAGGCCAAGGCCAATAGACAAGAAAATCTATTGGGGAAGCAGGAATACACGCAAAGGCCCTGGGACAGGAATACAACCATGTTGGGAAACCAGTGCAAAGGCCCTGGAGCAGGGATAAGAATAAGATGGGCCTCCACAATACACAATATCCACCAAGCTCATGTACAAAAATCCCACAGCTGGGGAAGAGCCTCATTCAGAAATTGATCTGTTGAAAAACTCAGGTTTGCTGGGCTTGAGACTGAAATGTCCAGGTTCTCATGGAGTCAGGGATGGGTTACCTTCCCCCATCTCCCTGTTCTTCTGGAAGCTTGGAAGCCCTGGCAGGCACGCCGAAGAACTGCCTCTGGCGCAAAAAAATTCATTAATGACCATGCTCCAGGGACTCATACGTAAATGCTAAAAGAGATTAATTGCAGAGATGCTTCCGGACCCTGTGCCAGAATGAGTTCCCAGGGGCACCCAAAGTCACCATCCAGTTAAAAATTTAACTTCAGCTGTATCACCCTATTCAAAAATTTTTAATTCCCGGAGTGTACAGCACAAACGCAACTGCACAACATCTCAAACTCCACACCACTGATAAACCAAGAGTAGCACACCACATTGGATGGTATGTAAAGTAGATGACAGCCAATCTTGATTAACTAAATATAAATACACAAAGCTCAACCTTTAACAACATGTTACTAATCTCTTCTACAAGGGCTTAATGGCTCCATGGTGAGATACAACAATCTTCAAACACTTTCTTCTAAGGAAATATTTTTTGATCATTTCTAGCAAATTATTTATAACAAGCAATATAGGATAAATTATTCAGGACCTGCTATATGGGCAGTCTTGAGGGGTGGTTGAGAAAATTGGAAATAAAGGTGGTGGGAAGATGCTATGTTGATGGGATTGGTGTTGGAATACTGAATGTAACAAATTATCAGGGCTGGAGCGATAGCACAGCGGTAGGGTGTGGGAACCATGTGAACATTTGGGGGGAATGGACAGTCTCTGCAAGGACATTGTGGTGCTACTGCTGAGAGGGGACATCCATCACAAGCTACCCATGTCTCCATCGTGAGACTTGTTGTTACTGTGATTGGCATATCAAATACGTCATGGGTAGCTTGCCAGGCTTTGCCGTGCGGGCGAGATACTCTCGTTAGGCTCTCCGAGAGGGGTGGAGGAATCGAACCCGGCTTGGCTGGGCCAGCTGTGCGCAAGGCAAACACCCTACCGCTGTGCAAATCAACGAATAACGGGAGGACTGTGACCATGACCGTGACAAATGATCATGAACAAGTTTATAAATTAATTTTTTAAAAAGGACAAGATAGGCCACAAAGCACAAAAGCCACCACTGGCTGTGGGACAGCTGGACAGAGAGAGAGAGTGGAAATCTGTAAGGCAGAGTGGACGGGGATCTGCTTGTGAGCCTGGCTGGGGTTTACTGTGGGGGCAATGGTTTCCGGGAGGAGAAGGGGAATGACAGGGTCGGGGATAGATGCCCGTCAGCAGCTGTGGGGCAGAGCAGGCAAGATGGGAATAAGGCTGGCAAGGGGCACACTTCTGGGGTCCTCTAGGCAGGAAGCAGAGGAGGTGCTGAACTGATGGCCCAGCTGGGTACTGGGAGCAAAAAGTCTGGGCTGGTAGGGGCAGAGGGGCATCAGGGGCCAGGACAGAGATAATGGAAGGGCAGGAGGGAGGCACCCTGGAGGCCATGGTCAGGGACAGTGGAGGTCACTCTGAAGAATTTTGGTGCTTTCCCTTGGGAACAGTGTCCACTCAGAGACTGTCCATTCCCCCCAAATGTTCACATGGTTCCCATCGATCTATACCCCTCTCTCTCCATCTGATTCCCATGGATCTACCCTCCTCTTTATCCATACAGTTGCCATGGATCTACATCCCTCTCTTGTTCAAGTCCAGAAAAGAGGGTGGGACTGGCCAAGCCAATCAGAGCCCCAGACCTGTTGACTGGTTATACATGGAAACCAGCAGGGCTCCCTCTAAGATCCTGGCCGTGATCACGGAAGTGAAGTGGGTACTCTCTGAAACAGGATGGACGTGTGGATTATCTAGGTGCCAAGAAGGAGGAGCCTGGCTAAAATTACAGTTGAGGGAGCCGAACTCAGTGGGGCAAAGCACCCATTCCCAAGGACAGGCATAGGGCACACAGATCCAGCCACACCGAAAGGCAGCATTACTAGCTTCAGCTCTTTTCACAAATTTTGGCCAAATAGTTTCCTGTCTTTCTGTTTAAGTGAATTGGAGCTGGGTTGCCATCACCTGGAACCAAGATACAGGATGAGTGAGCAGGTCAGAGGGATAACACCTACAGAGTCGGTCTGAGACCCAAGAACTCCGAACGAGGGCTGAGTGGTCTGTGGTGCTCTTCTGCCGAAAGTTGGGTCAAAACCACTCTGTCCAGGCCAGAGCAACAGCACAGTGGGGAGGGCACTTGCCTTGCACGTGGCCACTCAGGTTCGATCCAGTCACATCCCGTATGTTCCCCCACGCACCGCCAGGAGTGATTCCTGAGTGCAGAGCCAGGAGTAAGCCCTGAGCATCGCCGGGTGTGGCCCCCGAACAAGACCAAAAGGGGTCTCTCCAAAGCCCTGGGCCAGACCCACCACCACTTACTGCTCGTCTGCTCTGCTCACAGAACCTTCCCAGGGGGAGTGTTGGGCTGCACCCCCAACTTCCCAATGGGTTCACCTTGGGGGACGAAAAGATATTTCTTCACTGCCGACTCTCTCTACAGCCTCTGGGGGCCACTCCACGCTCATTAGCACAATCACCCACCCAAGTCCTGTCCTGGAAGGCTCAGCTGCCCCCATACCACCAAGGAGAGGGCAGCAGCCCAGGTCGGATTCCAGTTGGTCGGACTCTAAACCCGACTCTTTGCAGGCCCCCTAGGGCCACCCGCTGTCCTTCTGCAGCTCCCCTGCTGTGTCTGTCTCGGCATTCTCCCCCCAACAGCCGCCTCCTTTCATTCGGCGTGTGGGTAATTGAGATTCCCATCACACAGGCATCAACTATAAACTGATGAATAGCATTACTTTCCCCGGCGAAGCCATCTGCCTGCTTTAAATACCTGGGTAAAATGTTTGCTTTGGACTTATTAAGCAACTAGATGAGTGGGCCAGACATATGGGATGAGGTGGGGAGGGGTGGGGGAAATGGTGAAATTTCGGCAGAGTTATTTGAACCTGGATTTCGGGGGCTGACGGAACAATGGCAAAGGCTTAACTAGACAGCGCACAAAGGCCAGTGGGCAGCGTTCTAGGAAACGGGGACTTTGGCAGACAGATCCCGACACGCCCCAGGCCTTGACACCCTATCGGGGGACTTAGGAGCATTAACTTCCTGCTGCTGGGCTTTTCCTGGAGGGAATCACCATCAGCTCAGCCTCTGGAAGCCCTATGCACACACAGAGTTCCTACTTCGGTAGTGAAAAACGTCAGCTCCTGAGTTGACAGTACAGTAGTACAGCGAGGAGGGCACTTGCCTTGTACGCAGCTAACCCTGGGTTCGATTCCTGGTCCTCCCATATGGTCCTCCTTCAGGAATGATTCCTGAGTACAGAGCAAGGAGTAACTCCTGAGCACTGCCAGGTGTGTCCAAAAACACTTTCACGGTCACTGTCCTCCCATTGTTCATCGATTTTCTCGAGCGGGCCCAGTAACTTCTCCATTGTGAGACTTTGTTGTTACTGTGTTTGGCATATGGAATACATCACGGGTAGCTTGCCAGGCTTTGCCGTGTGGGCGAGATACTCTCCGTAGCTTGCCGGGCTCTCTGAGAGG